TTTTTCTTTTTCCTTTTTTTTTTTTTTTTTTTTTTTTTTTTTTTTTTTTTAAGTTTAACAAAGACATTCACTAGTGTTAACGGCCACTTGCAAAAGAACTGTTTTCCACTTTTTGCTTCTCAGTGATGCATAAAAGCAAACTATAAAGAATTTTTTTAAAGAGGAAAAATGTTATGTTTGTGTTTTTGGATTAATCATCATATCTGGCCTTTGAGGAAAGGTGTAGGCTAAGGAAGCCCGAAGACCTCAGAACTTTAGACAGACTCAACATCTCCAGTTCCAGGCTGGAAAGGGCTTCTTTTTTGGACCATCCTAGAGAAACTTTCAACCAAAACAGAAAGACTAAACTGGTAATTTCTGACAGGATCAAAACAATTAACAAGCAGAAAAAAAAGTTTTAGGGTTCTCTCTCTCTGTTATAAAGCAGCAATAAAGAAACCTCAAACTAACTCTTCTAGTCCATCTCAGGTCACCCTAACAAACTTGTCTCGAGTAAATTTCAACTACATTGCTCAAAACTTTTGAGAATAGTTCCATTTGAATTTGCTTTAAGGCCTTAGATTACGAGCATACAAGAAACATCATAAAGCAACACTCTGGCAATACCGCCAAGTAATCCGATTTATATGTTTTTTTTTTTCCACATGAGACAGTTGGAATGGACAAAAATAATCAATTTCACATAAAATAATGCCTACAAAATGAACTTATAGTATTGAAAAGGCCAAATCAAACACTGTAGGTTTTCTAGTTCTATTACTCTGTAAGCAGTTACAGAGAAAGTTAGCAAGAAAGAAAGATACTGCAAGCCAAATTTGAAAACAGAATTTTGGTTTAAACATGTAAGGTTGCTCTAAGAGGGAAAGCTTGATGTGTAACACACTCAGGACCCCCCATGTCGAAACACTAAAATCCACAGATGGAATTTTCCATCTTTTTTAATGAAAGAATTCTACATCCCATTTATGCTCCAGATAAAATATGGTTAAAATACACCATAAGCATCTCTAAAATTACTTTATGCCAAATCCCATTACAGCAATACTCAGTTTGTGTACCTTGTTGGAGAAAAGCTTATCTTCCTTTGTACCCTAAACAGTTGTGGTCAACCTCTGAACCACAGAGCCATGTCATCTGACCCATGAGACTCCATACAGGTCCAGAAATTTGGCAGAGGGAAAGCGGAATCTGGCATTAATTGCTGCTCCTCTGCTGTCAAATTTCTGGACCCATGGGAAGTCTCACAGGCCAGGAAACATGGCCCTGTCCAGAACATGGCAAGTGGGTCACTCCACAGCCACATCCAACAAAAGAAATCACACCAGTACAGAGACGATGCCCACAGACCAACCCATAGCACCAAGTATGCATGGAATCTGGCCTGCGGACTGTCATTCATCCAACCAACAGGGTTAGAAGGTTGGGCACCACTGCCCTAACCTAACTGATCCTCATGCTGGTAAATACCCCTGGATTTTCCATTAAATTAAAGGTATTGTTAAAATTCGGAAGAGGTATCTTGTCATAATAGCTGTGCAAAAAAGTTAAAAGAAAAATGTGGCATGAGATTTATGAAATAATGCAAAAGCAATTTCTGGTGAAAGATCTGTAAGGCAGCACAGAGATTAGGAGGTCTCATTTACCTCTGTTTTAGGGAGATATTAATGAACACTACTAGCTCTAAACTACTCCCAGATAATAAGATGCTTTGAAAAACCCTGAGCTGAAGGCTAGACCTAGCAAGGAGGTATACATGGGTGGGAAAGGCCAGGTAATGAACCCAAATATGGGATCTAAACCTAAAAACCGAGAGGAAAACTCATAACCTAATGTTGGTGTATACACACCACAGATATGCATTCTATCAGCAACACTACACTCTCCAACTTATAAAATATTACAGGGCCAAGTGTAGGATATATTAAGGATTAATGCTGAAATATGTTTCACACTTTACACCCAACTATAAGCAGCAATACATCCAATTAATTTGCAATTACAATGGACTCCCCATGGTTCCTATCTTTTTTGTATTACCTTTAGAATACCTATTTATCTAAAAGATTCAGCTATGTGGCTTGTTACTCTGACTGCTGCCACTTCAGCAAATTCCAGATAAAATATTTTTTTCTTTAAAAAAAAGGCTCAGCTAACTTATTTCTTCTCTCAGGAATAAACCCTTCTGCATCTGAAGAGTTGAATTTGTGGAATATTTCTATTTTAAAAACTTTTAAAAAATGCCTATGAAAAGCATGTGCATAAGCTATCAAATAGAAATAAAACATTAAAAAAAAATAAAAAGAATGTCATGGCATCATTAAATAAATATTAGACTAATCTATATAAGTGGGAACAAAAAAGCATCTGTGGTTGAGACATAACAGAATAGTTATATAAACTCTTGTAAGTTTGCTGGCTTTAAGAGATTTAGTCATTGCTTATGAAAAACCATGCATTTTCAAGAACTGTAATATCAGAAATCTTCCTTCCCACACCCTTCTGGCAAAAACTATATTCAGAAACATTCAAAAATACACTAGGAAGCAAAATTATTAAAGATCCACACACTCATAAAAACCATTCAAATAAGTTGTACGTATGAACAAAAAAAATGAGTTCTAAATAAATGACACAGGAGGCAATAAATTGACACATGACAAGTAAATAAAAGGCTAAAGCACTCCAATACCATTGAAACTGTTTTAATGTTGTTGCAATTCCATAATGCAACAATCATCAACTCATAAAAAGACCCAAATATTTTAGAATTCATTTTAATTATTCCTTTGCACCTATTTTACAAAATAAAGGCAAGATACGTTTAATGCCCTCCTTTACCTCTATTTGTTTATGTACCTAACTCAGTTACGTTCAGAGTGTAAGCTTAAACTTCTCTTAAATGTTATATAAGAAAGAATGTTAAAATATTAACCTCTGCTTCAATGTACAGTTTCCAGAATCTGCCAGAACTGGGGAACTGGGCAACAAGGCGTTCATAGGTCTTCCGTGCTTTGTCTATAGGTTGATTCTAAAAATTGAAAATCAAAACAGCATTTACAGTATTATGATTTATGTAAATGTATATATTGATTTTACTCCAGAACCAAATAGTGTGAGTGGACCCATAGATAAGGAAATTTAATCCTATGTCACTAAACCTGTGCCTCTCGAATGAGAATGCTCCAAGCGTCAAGGTCATATGGATTTTCTTCTAATTTCTTTTCAGCCTTTTTCACTTTTTCTGGGACATATTCAGCAGCCTAAAAAAAGAAATAAACAAAAAGAAAAAAAGCAAAGGCATAAGATTACACATAGCAGTCAAGAAGCTCAATGCCAGTTATTTCATGCATGCTAAATATCTTTGGATATACAAAAATACCTTGCCATTTTAGAAGATGCACTGAAAGAGAGCATTTTTTTAATGCAAAGCAAGTTCTCATTGCATTTACAATGCACTACTCAGTAGCAAAGTACTGAATATGTAAGAGTGAATTCTACGTTTAATTTTTAAATGGAAAACAGTTCAAGTTACAAAAATAGCATGCCCATATTAGTGCACATACTGTAAGCAATATATTTTCTACATCATAAACTGCTATAGATCTGACAAGATTGTTGAGCATGAACAATACTATCAAAAAGCAGACTTTGATACAAGTGAAGATGTAATTTTATTTTATTCCCTCACTTCTCCACAGATGTAATTTCACAGGCCTGCATGCAATTTGAGAACTGTATTTTCCTTCATGTTTTGTTCTTAGGAAAGCCTAAAATAATTCAGTTTAGAGTTTACAAGCTCCTAGCTTTACAGCTGTTTTGTTCTGTTGGCATAGCCATGATTACATCAATTCTTTAAACCAGAGCTTAGCTTATTCTCTCTGCTGCAGCAGACGAGGCATCCCCAGGATCTTACCGCCTGCCTTATTCTATCTATCTGTTGGCCTTGCAACCTCTACTGATTCCTGGGAGGTGTGAACCTGCAGAAGGGGCTGGATAATAACCAGCAGCCTGGTGTGGCACAAAGGTTGCCAACCCTTTCTTTAAGCCAGCCAGGGTGCTGGTAGATGGGGGCAGTGGGGGGAATGGACACCCAAAAAACACCAAAACAAAACAAAAAAATATGCTTTACCAGAAGCAGCAGCTTGTTAGTTTGACCATATTCTGCAATGTCTGTATCGATCAGGTGCTTCAGCAGGGCTTTTTAGCGCTTTCATCTAAAGATGATTCAATCAGCTATTAGATAAATGCATCATAAAAACCCTGCTGAAGTGCCTGGTCTATAGTCATTGGGCAAGCCGGGTCCAACTAAACACAATGCCTCGTCTGGGCATAAGCTGTGCTCAGCACGGGCACATGCAGAGTTTAAAATAAAGTGCTGCTTTTTTTGGGGGGGGGGGGGAGGGGGTGTTACATCTGTAAGCAACCCCAATGCACACCTATAAATTTAAAGGAAAACATGGTAAGTTTAGTAAGAATTTTTCAAATTGTTCCATCAATGTTATATTATCAACAATGAACACGCAGACTTTTGTAACGGCCAACAGTAAAACGAACCCTTGAAAGTGCACCCTTTTTTGCTGCAACTCTGTCTAAGCAAGGTAACTACAAGTTTTCTTTACTAGGACAGAGTCTTAAACGAAGCTGATAAATTTTCAAAACAAGATAAACTTAAACTTTCAGATAGACAAACTTCAGCCCAAGTACTGGACAAATTTCAGTACGATTCATGTGTATGAGTGACAGGGGATAACAAATAGCTTGACTTTATTATTAAAATGACAAAAATGTTTATTTTAGTTGGGGTTTTTTAAAGCTATCTATCCTGCAATCTGAAGTGTACACTTTTGTATATTTAAATACTTGACAACTGACCATACAGAGAATTATAGTACTAGATAAGAAACAAAAACAAATTTATAAACTGTGAACTAGGCATAAGATGACCCCAAATCCATACTAGTACAAACCTAGAATGGCAAAAAATGTGATGCTTGGTTATGAAAATAGCCATCATCTCTCCTTACGAACCAAAAGGGGCTCATTTATAACCATTACTAAAGCAAAAGTCCACAGTCAAGGATGGATACTAAGGCTGTGTGAACCTTCAGTCACTGACTCGATTCAGTGGAGATCAGCCCGAGTCAGCAGCCACATCTCCAAATCCAAATCGAATCAGGAGACCCTTTAATCTCTCCAAATCAAATAGGAACCCTCCAAATCAATACAGAGAGCTTCGATGATTCAGACAGACACACCTTTAATTTTCTTTTCTACATACCTCAAGGTACCAGGCAACTTTGTGAATGCTGATTTGCTGGGGCAGACGGAGCGTCCCACCGGGGAGGGGGGCGGTTGTCCCCAGTGCACTTGGCAGTGGACCCAGAAGTGGACCAGAAGCACTTCCAATCCACTTGCTGACTGCTGCAGAGCACGCGTGAGGGACCACCCCCCCATGCTCCCCAGCTCAGCAATTGGTGCCTCCTGGGTCTTGGGGGGAGCACCTGGGGTTCCCTGTGCACTTGGCAGCAGACTCAGAAGTGGACCAGAAGCATTTCCGGTTCACTTCCAGGTCCCCTGCCGAGCATGTGGAGCGCCCACCCCGTGCTCCTGCAAGACACTCCATCCACCTCACCATCTCAGCGTTCACGAGCCGCGCCTGATACATCAACGTATGTAGAAAAAAAAAAAAAAACACCAAACACTTAAAGATGTGTCTATGGCCAACATCAGCATCGACTCTTCAGATTCAGCCGAATCAAATGCAGCCCAATTCACACACCCCTAATGCACACGTACATTTGGAGCTGTATCCAAAAAGGCAGAAACTGTCCTGTTCCGTTACGTGTGAATGAGCTGACAACAATGCAAACATCTACCTCTCCAACTTTAACACCACCTCATCTAGGGTTAAAGATAAAGCAGTTTTGCTCAATTTTAATTGTTCATACGTAACATAGAATCTAAGTACACCCCAGGGAATTACGCAATTATGCGCCTGTAAAATTTTGCAGCATAAAACATGACTGCACAGTCACCTAATATTGTGCAATTTCCTGGGATGTAGCTGGTGTGTGGAAAGGGGAGCTCCTGGTGACAGGAATGGGGGATTGGCGTGGGGTTGTACGTAGGGTTTATGGGTGAGTGTGGCCCCCCCACCACACAGTGCACAGCCTGTCTTCAGCAGCCGCAGCAGGCCCTCAGGGCACTCCTGGCTGGGGCAAGCAGAGCCCTCTGCAGTGCATGGCTCCAGTAACTCCTGGGGGCTGCACATGGCTCCTGCCTGCAGTGCTGCAAGCCCCACACACTGGCATGGAGCTAGCCTGGTCTGGTCCAAAAGCATGCACCAGCAGGCTGGGCCAGCTCTGTGCTGCCATATACAGCCCCCAGGATTTGCTGTAGCTATGCACTGCTGGAGGGGCTCTGCCTGCTCTGGCCAAGAGCACCCTGAGGACATGCTGCCTGCTATTGCCACCAGCAGTGGGGGCTTTGTGTGGAGGAGTTGAAGGAGGGCATGCAGCAGTGTGGGCTGTGCTTGCCGGGAGGGGGTGGGTTGCAGCAGGCAGAACATGGCATATGGCAAGGGAAGCTGTGCTGAGGGACTTACACCCCCCACAAACCCTATACACCCCCACACACGCACTTAAAGTATCTGCATATATTTCTAAAGAAGGTTCAAATAGTGTTATATTTAGTTTAATTTGTAAGAAAAATAAAAATGTGCAATTTTGATTTTTTCTAAACTTAATTCCCTGGGATGCATCTAAGAGCTGCTGCCTTTGCAATGTAACAGGGATGTTAGCTCCCCTTTTGAAACATTCAAATGCCTCTGTGTCTACATCCTTTACTGTACTGCAATACACCACCAGAAGAATTTAGCAGTCTATGTAAATCAGCTAACATCCCTGTCACATACCATGCCACCCCACCCCAGCATAGTTATTCAAAAGAATACAAATTCCAGGTAATATTAACTAGTCTTGAACCAAGAAAAGAACAGGGACTCCTGCTAAAACTATCTGCACAAGACTCTGCAAACCCAATGGAACACTGCAAGTTCCTCAAGTTGACTAGAAAAGCAAACACATAGGCATGGCAGGATCCAATTTTCATTGCTAAACGTTGATTTTACCTCACATATGCAGACCAATGAAAAAAAATATTTTCATTGGTAATAACTGAAATGTATAGAAAGAGGACACAAGAAAAAGAATCTGGGACAAAGGTAAGGAAATCCAGGACAGGGTGCATGAAAATGCAGGGACATGAAAAAGCTCCCTGACTACATATTTGAAACACAGTTCCCAATTTAAGCTAGGATCTAGTTACAAATATTATTAATACACAAACAAGGACTGAATTAATGATAAAGGAATATATTACAAAAATTCTATGCACAACATATTCCAAATTAAAAAGGAAGCTGTGTAAACCTTTGGAGAGGAAAGCTTTCAAAGCACAGACAACTGAATACTAGAAACTTTATCCAGAAACAAAACATGACCAAATACTGAAGTTGCAGTCACATTAGACTGCATTAACAAAAATATTTTTATAAATCAACAATTTACTACTCAGAAATTGTTACTTTGACAACACTATTTTAACTTAAGCCAACTAAAATTTGTTAGTCTAGATCAGGGGTTCCCAACCTGTGGTATGTGTATCCCTGGGGTATGCAAGGTATCTTTGGGGGATACGTGGGAGAAACTGTAAAGGTGGAGTTCATTTTCATTATGATAATAAATTGGCATTTAAGGGGTTAAAATATAAAACATGCTGGTAGGGGTACATGGGCAGCTGGTATATCTGGAAGGGGGTTTGCAATAAGAAAAAGTTTGGGAGCCCCTGGTCTTAGACTACACGAGCATAAAGAAAAGATATTGTGCTATTTTTTTCCCCATGGAGATTAAGGTTGCGTTTACTTTCCAAGTGCTCCACGATATATTGCACAAACAAAGCTCTTCTGGTGTAGGTGGACCAATGTTAGCAAAATTACTTTGTTTCAGAGTACATATACTATTATTACCCACCTACAGAGCGAAAGGCTGTCCATAAAACTACAGTTTTACCCATACAATGACATTCACATTAAATGGATTTTGGCAGCACAGCTTCATCAGTAACAGACCACTTCTAAGGAGGACAACTTTGCCAGCAGAAGGCCCTAAAAGATGCAACCCATGTCTCTAAATTAGTCTGTAGGTTGATGGCTGTGCCACAAATGCACAATCCCAACAATGTTGCACTGTTTTCAGGAAAATGATGCAAGACCACCCTAAAATTTGGGTAAGAGAAGAAAAACAACCTCCACTGGGTTTGCAGCTGGGTTTTTTGTTTGTTTTTTTTTTTTGGGGGGGGGGGGGAGGGATTTTCCTTGCAAATAAAAAATAGCCCAAGTCAATTTGATTTTTTTCAAAACAAAGCAAAATTTCACACATCCAACACAAGCTAC